TTTATTGACAAAATCCTCCCATACACCCTAATATGTGATGGATCTGATGCCGTGGGTCTAAGACAAACGCTGCGGAGCCAGGAGTTCTGCTAAAGGCCTAAAGCTTCTATCATTCTTACGTAAAAGAACATGGCTTAAACAGCAAAATGAGAAACGTGGGTGTTCAAAATCAGCAATACATGTGCAATAGGTATTTTCTTAGCGGTGAGATGAATCACATTGTGTAGGCCACACATTTCATCTTGCTATGCTTTATTGAACAACTTAACCACTTCAAAAAAGATCTGTGGAGTATATATTTCTTTGTCCATGTGCAGGTTGGTTTTACATCTGTCCCATTCAGAGAGGTACCAAACACAAATAAAACTGGATTCTCAAGAAATCTGAGTAATCAGCTTGGAACTTCCAGTTAAGTTATATTATTTTTCATAGACATGCAACGGGATCTGGCATTTACTTGGCCTCTACATGTACGGGTCAAGAATGCTTTATTTAACACAAAGTCATAAACCATAATTTCTTGTGATGGAAAAATCAGGTGTGAGCTTTGCGGGAACTGTCAAGGCTCAGTGGTTGTGCCCAGGGGTCCTGTCGTTGATTCATGTCGCTGTGTTCATTAAAGACCATCAACAACAGACGCTTTACCAGCAGGATAATGAACAGTGAACAGTTGTTTTTTTTTACATCTCCTCAAATCAGTGTTTTTAATGAAGATATTAACAGTATGTCACTCCCTCTTCACTCAGGTCACTGGTTTTCGGTCCCACTCCTCTGGAAACTAATCCCCGCTGGTTCTTCTAATCATGAACTGCTGGTTGCCAGGTGAAGACAGTGAACTTCCTGTTTGGATGGAAAATTAGAGACAATCCCCTCTATGGTCCACCCAAGTTCTTGGATAAGGATTTCAGGTTAGCTAAACATTGTCACCAATCCAAAATACAGCATTCAGGATTGATTAAGTGAAATCCTCCAGACGATTCCGAGCAGCCAGCAGTGTGAAGGTTTGAGCATTTAAACTCATGGTTACACTAATCACTGCTTTCTGTTAAGTAAGTATAATAAATTGGAAATGACTTTATAATGAGAGTTCTGAATTTACTGTACAGTTTACATTGTTCCAAATTAAGTAACACCTAAGTAAACATATTGAATACAAATCAGAGTAGGTTTGACACATGTTTTCCACTAGTACCGTTCACAAAAGAAAGAAGAGCCTTACATAAAGCGATTTGCATGCAAAGCTTTCACCCCTCATCAGTGACATAAATACTTTAGGTTGGACCATTCATGTCAAAAGGCTTCTTCTCCAGCACATGCTCCTCAAAACAAGGCTGTGACTAGTGTGCTCATATTCTACAGGCATTCTGGTGTGTCTCAGACAGCCGTGGGAGGATGCCCTCCGTTACGACCATTCAGAGTCATCCCTCTTATGGAGCGTGTCCTGAACGAGCCCTCCGGGTGGAAGGACTCTGGCTTGTCCTCGCAACGAAACACCATGAGGAAGCCGTTCCTGTAGTTTTTATTCATCCACCCGTACAGGAGAGGGTTGGTAAAAGTTGAACACATAGCCACAATGTGGAACACCGTGTATATGAGTTTATACTCGTTAAACCTCAACACCAAATCCAGGTCGCTTGCCAGCTGGAACACATGAAAAGGAAGCCAGCAGATAGCAAACACCACCACCACCAGCGCCAGCATCTTGGTGGTCTTTTTGCGTCTGTTGATGCTGTCATTACGGCTGGATGGACTGATGTGGTTCTTCAGTTTGACCCAGATGCATATATACGCATAACTGATGATGGCCAAGGGAATTATATACTGCAGGACAAGCATTAACAGGCTGTATATGACTCCGTCTCTGCTGGTTCCATTGGGCCACTTCTCAGAGCAGACGGCGATACGAAGGTTGATCGATGAGATCTCTTCATTGCGGTGCTCCCTGAAGATGGCCAGAGGTGCCGCCAAGATGGCAGACATGGTCCAGGTGAACAACATGATGAGGAAGCTTGAGCGCCACGTCAGGCGCCGACCCAGGTGGAAGACGATGCAACGGTACCGCTCCAGAGCTATAACAGTGAGAGTCAGGATGGACACGTGCACGCTCAGGGCCTGGGCAAAGGGCAGCATGTGGCACAACGTGGCGCCAAATTTCCACTCATCCAGCAGAGTGTAAACCAGAGTGAAAGGCAAGCAGAGAGTGTTCACAAGGAGGTCAGCCAGGGCCAGGTTAGCGATGAAAAAATTGGTCACCGTCCGCATGTTCCTATAGCGAATAATCATGTAAATAACAAGAGAATTGCCAAGCAGCCCCAGCAGGATAATAAGAGAATACGCTGTGATCAAGGTGATCTGGACTCCAAGGTGTTTGGTGATATCTTTGTGGAAACCAGATGGGTTTAAACCCATGCTGTCGTTGGGCAGAAACAGGGGATTGGTTTCAGCCACTTCCCCTTCTCCTGAGCTGTTGGACATGTCTGGTGGGCTCATTTTACTGTAAGATGATATGTACACCTGAGTGGTGAAAAACACACAAAAGACAATAGCTGTTAGAAGCTACTAAAAAAGGGATTAAAAAAATGACAGTCTGAGATGACAGATACACTTTAGTTGATAATCCATCTATTTCTCACAATTTTCCCACATTCTCAAAATCCCAAAGCATTTTTTGCTGAAGCAGAAGAGGTTAAATACAGGACAGAATGCCCACTCCCAACAACAACCACAATGGGAGTAGTTAGTGCAGTTAAAGAGGACCTAAGTGTTCTCCCCAGGGGTATCATTGTTGGGAGTCTGAGTCCTGGGTCTCTTTAAGATTAAGGTTTAATGGTTTGATCCTCTCCTCCAGGTGTGTAACACCTTCCGTTCGCTCTCTCTCATTATGTGTAATCAGAGCCTCTGTCAGTTAGAGAAATGAACTGTTCATAATCCGGTCTGCATTAAAGTGAGAGCATGCTTGAACCATTTGCTTTGTTTTCATTGTCATTTCCATCTCAGCACAAGCGCTTCAAAAAATTAGGCTTTCAAATGACATTAACTCTAATGAAACACTATGCAGTCATTTGACATTGTCACGTCTGGGGGAATGTCTTGTCTTGATTACCTATTGTGTGCACCTGGGGTTCCCCTTCCTCGTGTGTTTAAATAGTCCTCGTTTCCCCTTGTCTGGTGCGGGGTCGTTCTTGTCTTCTTGCCTTGTCTCTTGTCCTTTCGTCCGTCGTCACCCCCACGCCAGGTTTGTTTCGTTATAGTTCTGCCACAGCCACAGTCATAGTCACGTTTTGTCATAGTCTTGTTAATCTTTATTTTGTTACTCAAGTCATAGTTTTTGCCACAGTATTGTTTGCTCATTGCTTTGTTACTTTGCCCACAGTTTGCCACAGCTTTGTTTTGTACTTTGTCTGGACATTCACCCTGTTTTTTGTCAATAAACCTTGTTCCCCTCATTCCGCGACTGAGTCCTCCCTCAAGAACCCACCTCCCTGACAGACATATTAGGTGCTTTGCAAAACCTGCTTGATTCTAAAACCTATCTGGGATTGAAGTCGAGAGCGGAGAGAAAGGACAATTTGTTAGATAAGGCAAATATCAGATGCGTGACGCTTATCATTAGAATTACTGGCTACGGCTGCATTGTGGAGGTGGCTGTCCTGAAAAGCAAAGAAGGTGAAATTCAGTCTTGAGTTACAGATAAAAACTAGTAGAAAATGAGTTATTCTGATGGAGGCATACACAAGAACAATCAGCCCACATTTTAACATGGGACTATTTACACCAAAAATACCTTTGACTGTGCTCTACAGGTAGCTTGCCTGTTTGCTTACGGCATGCAGTTTTCCGGAGGAGCACCTGTGCCATTATCAATGCTGAAGGGATACTGATGGCAGAGGCAATGACAAGCACTCGGCTGGTTCAAAGCTCGATCATTAAAGGCACAGACTTGTCTCTGACAATATTGCCTGCAACTCACAAAAAGGGGAGCGCACGTCTATAAAATAAATGTGCGCAATTCCTTGTAAATTGAGTCTATTTACTTGTGAAAGGCAGACATTTGAACAGAACATACATATTGACTCCCAAAGCCTCTGCTGCTGTTTAATCCATGTAATGCTTGTATATCCTTATAAAGCTGATTAATCAGAATGTAATCTCCGCAAGAAGATATCGACAGCTCTCTGGTTATAAGGAGTTAACATTTTAGAAACAAAGTGGTATAATCGTATGAGCCTGATTTCATGTTTTGTGGCCTGTGTTGACCCCACACATCTAAGTGCCTAACACTCAGTTCTGGAAGTTCTTCATCTTTCGTAGAAGTTAGACCAAACAGAACATATTTTGGTGAGAGGTCACCTCTTTGGTGGCAGACACTCTTTGGTTGCTCTGGGGATTCAGCCAGCAAATCACTACAAGGACCATAGTTCACTGAGCATATTTACAAGATTTTACCCACATATGAAACAGAGCAAATTACATTTAAAGTATTTTTTCTCTCCGGAAATTATTTTTCTACGAGCAAGGAGCAGAAACCAGACCGTATTCTCTGCAGCTGGGTTAAAGATGAAGGTGTATAGAAGTATTTCCACACGCGTTTGTGATGTATCTTTGGATCACTGCGCATTCCCTTTAAAATTCAAAACCTATACCATAGCGTTTGGTCCCTGCACGAGGAAGCACAACCACGTCATATTTCATGAAATGACCTGCGGGATAACTCAGATCCCTTAGGATCTACAGAAAATATGGCCAAGAGCATTGGAGCGTTCCAGTAACCCAGAGAACATGCACAG